ACCTTACACGAAATAGGGTGAATACATCTAATTACACTGATTTACTGGTAGTCTCGAAACCCTACTCACTTACGAATAGTTTCACTCAGTTCCAGTCCCAGGTATACGAAGTACTCAAGTCTTTAGTAGCACGTATACTGTCGCCTCACCGAACAGAGCGTCTAGACTCCTACTTCCATGATTGAAAGAATCATGCATTGTCTCCACAGCTCACCTATTTTATTCAACACGTGTACGCTGGATGAACTGTGAATATCTTTCTTTGATCGCCTGCTGTCTCTCGACTGGATGTCTAGTCAATTTGGACCTAAAGACGAATGTGGTTATCCGTCTCCCTAGTCCTATGACTACCAGGCCCCAGATGTTGTAATTGTTTCTTCGAGCAGACTATCCCCACTGAGAAAGTATTCCATTGATCTTCGAATGTATCTCTTCCGCTTCTTTCTACTGATTCCTTGTTCTTTGATTAAAGACAGCTACTTGATGCAAGCATATACCTCTTGTTGGTTTTGCCGTAGCCGTGTTGTCTCCAAGTTTACTTAAGCAATAGACAGGGATATCGCTAAATTAGCCCTCTTTCAATCGTTTTTTCATTAAATTTCTTTTAGAAAGGATTTCAAGGTCGAAAGTGTAATCCACCCCTGGCTGGATTAGAATACTTTTTGGGAATCAAGGCTCTGTTAGATTCAATGGAAACGTAGAGTCTACTCGACTGGTTGTTAAAAAATTCAATTATTAGTCTTTCATCCCCTTAAACGAAATAGGGAAAATTCAAATGTTGTAAATTATTTATATATTATATTAATGATGAGGGAATAGTTTCATTTCGTATGAAAGTGCATGAAGAGAAGATTTGTAGGTCGATCACACCAGAATAGGACGGCTGCAGTACAACGAGATTCAGCCGTCCTCTTCTGGTGAAATCGACCTATGAATATCTAATTCATACACTTTCATACGAAATGAAAGTCTCCAAAACGACTTTATCTCATGCGACCCTAACAGAGACCACAACATCTTGGTCTTCATATCTTCATTTATCTCATGAGATTCATCGAAACACAATTACTCTTCGTATTTGTCTTCTCGCTAAACACTAAACAAGAAAACTATATCCCGGCAAGTTAATAGAATTAGTCCAAGGTATGAAGACCAAGATGGTGTGGCCTTTTGTTTGGTCAGTCTCATTTCATCGTACAGGACTTGTTTGATCTTGTTTTTGCAACTTGGTCATATTGGTAGAAAAACTTAGAAGAACGCACACAATCCGGAGTCCATTGTGTGCATGATCATGTCCAAAGTCGGACCGTGGACGTGGTACTTTGCCAGACGTTTCGCCGGCATCGTCAGTGAGTCTCGCCATTCTTAGCACCAAACAACAACTTTTCAAAGAGACAAGAGGGAGGACGAATACCACCTCGAGTAGCACAGATGGGGTGGCAGGGTTCGAGTGAAATACGTGAACCAGGGAGAGAAAAGACGGATC